CTTTTTATCCTGTTCCTATTCTTCCTCCATTCTCACTCTATTATCACCTTATCCCAACTATTTCCCACCCCATACCTACTCCTTTCGCCCCACTTATTTCCACCCCATCTTCACTCCTTCCCATCTAAAGTTTTATCACTGTAGCAACACTCAGTAGTAATGTAAAATGAAATAAAATAAATAAATACATAAAGACTCCAAATTTGTATACCTAAAGCCATTCTCCACAGCAAAGCAAATAGACGCAAAGCCACAAAGAGGGTTAATTAGATACAGATTACATGAAGGAAGCCAATGAGCAAAAGTTTCAAAAATGGAATTTGCTCCTACATGAAAAGATAAATTATAATTGACATCTCCATGGAAAAATTATAATTTTAATCGCATTGCTGGAGTTACAATTGATAACTCCTGAATAATTATATTGCACATAAAGTAGAAATTGCTAAATATTTTGTTTTTATGATCATAATATTATTGCATGCTTCATTAACTATCCTACACATTCTGTAGTCATAAGGGCATCATTAGTTTACTCAAGGCATCGGTAAATCTCTTTTGTAATTACTATATTATTAATTTTCTCTAGGACATTTTGGTTATACAGTACTTTTGAACCTTCACTTGACTGACATTAAAACCGATGTGTAATACCTACTGTTTGTTGTTTTAATATGATGTGAAATTAGAAGTTGAAATAATTGATGATTGCACTGGCATATTCTACATACTACGATATTGGTGCTACATTATCTGCTGTTGTTGAAGCCTTTGGCTACACACTGTGCATCAGTATCTTGAATTGTTTAAAGGGCATGGAAATGCTAATCCTGTTTTCAGGAATTCAGATAAAGAAATATGCATTGGGTTTAGTTGTGCTTCATTTACATTACATATGGTATATAATTTAATGCATAAAAAATGGGATTTTATTTGCATTGCGTAATTATGAATATTTAAAGAAATCTTTAATTATGCAGTACATCTCTCATTGTAAAGTTGAGAACTACTCTCAAATTTTTCACACGGGCTAGTCCCATGGCAACACATGATATAACAATCATAATATTGTCATCAAGCGCTTTTTCCTCATAGCTACAAAGCGCTGTTATCATGAACACGAGTACCCATATGGTGTCACCATCAGTCTCTGTGCTGTGCTGGCGTAATCTTGGACTCATTTCTAGGTGACTCATAATATTATGTTAATTATATGAAAATTAAGTTTTTGGTGTTTTTAGATTCTGTACAAATTCTTTTTTAAAACAGTGTTTATTTGATGGAAATTGGTTGTATTAGCGAAGTTATGAATATTTAATTCATTGGATATCAGTCATGTAGGTTTTGAGAAAACAGCTTCCAAAGATTCCAAAATCAGTAGTTTATTATTAAGATTTACATTGTAAAAATAATTTTAATATACTTTTCCATTACATTTAGTGACTAATATTTTGCACAAATGGTCTTCAATATATCTTCTTTTATAAAATGTTAAAACCCAAACATGTTCAAAATTCTGAATCTATAATGTTTTGGGTGCTTGTGGGAAATTAGAAATTGCGACTAACAGCAGGTTTTCCAGAGCTGGTCACAAATGTTCAAAATATCCTGTTACCTGTACTTTCACCTCTCACCCCATGAATACGATTATTTTTATCAAGCAGTTTCTGTGCCAAATGTTGAACTAACATTTAATGAACCTGTATAGAATGTATCTTGAACATAAACAATCAACAGAAAGTGGTTTAAGTGACAACCCTATTAGTCCTTAGTGATGCCACGGACATATTAATAGGTATTGTTAATAGGATCTATAAAGCTTGCCATACATTTTGTCTGCCAAATCCAATTTAGAGAGGGGTTTTTTTTTTTTTGTTTTTTTTTTCAGGTACACCATAATGTCTCTAATTTCATAGATTTCTAATTTCTTTTTTTTCTTTGGTGTGCCCATTAAGAAGGCATAGGCATACATTTAATGTGTTAAGTCCTGGTAAATTACTTAACTAAGTACAAGATACATAGCAAGTGTATCTTAAATGGACAACTGATACTACAGTGTACATACACTGTGTATTAAAAAGTAACCAGTTTTAATTTGATTTAATGCCAATAATAACACGTGTCGATCACAATTCCCTGAAGACTAAACATAAGCAATCTTTTTCATTGTGATGACGTTTATAGTAATCTCGCCAAAATATTGAGGATAAACTAATGGTTTGGTGGGAACCATTATTTACTGGCTATATAGTCCATCAAAACATTATATTGTAATTATTTAGATTATATTATTGACTCTAAATTATATTATTGGCTATAAATTATGTATTGATTATTAATTATCATTAATTAAATTGTTATTTCAGCCATACTGTAACTATGGGATGGCTTTAATTCACATAATAATATTTTTTCAACTTTCCAATGGCTAATGGCTGTATATTTTTAGAATGCTTTCTTTTAATAGCTTTTATGTGACATGTTGATGTTTAACTGTCTTTATATATATTGTGAATGAAAATTAGATATGTTTTTAAAAATTTTGTTTTACAGCAAAGATGTGCGCCTTCCAGTGCAATTACAGCGTGCTATGGCGGCAGAGGCAGAGGCAGCGAGGGAAGCAAGAGCTAAGGTGAGATTGGTAGCTGTTAAAGTGGGTGTGATGGCATTGACATTTTCTGCATAAATTACACCTTGATAAAACACAGAGAGAATTGTTGTATAAAGTTAAGTAGGGTATTGCATAGTGTGGAGTGAGAGGAGGATGACAGATTAAGAAGATGTCATTCATTGATATTATGAGAATTGTTGAATAAAACTTGCATGGTTAAGCAGATTGTAGGTGAGTTCAGTAAATGCTGATGACGGTGGCAGTTAAAGAAGTGGTGAACATAGTAAAGTTGATTCCATATGGTTTAATTTGAATAAGTTGGCAGGGTAGATAAACAAGATATTGTTATTAAGGGCTGGGTTGGTGATGGACAAATAATTATTGTTTATTCATTTAAATCCAAAGTCATAATGGGAGATCAGTTCTTAGCCAGCTGATTGTCTCATTATCCAGGCTGATCAAAATCAAGGACACACTCTGAGGACGTGTAGATTTGATATTGGAGATAAATAGCAATAAAACTTTTATAAGCCTTCTTACCTAAGTAAGGATGCAAGGCACTGATCTAAATAATAAATAAAACAAAAGGAAAAAGGTAGATCTTAAAAAGTGAAAAGACAGTTCGAAGTGGGGAATGTATGGAGATCAAGATCTCATCTGAATTTTAAGAAATTTTGTTCTCTTGCTAGGTGATCGCTGCGGAAGGTGAACAGAATGCCTCGCGTGCACTGAAAGAGGCTGCTGATGTAATTAGCGAATCACCAGCCGCCCTTCAGCTCCGTTATTTGCAGACTCTGAGCAACATTTCTGCCGAGAAGAATTCAACGATAATTTTCCCGTTGCCTATTGAGCTTGTCAGGTGAGTTATTGGCTCTTGCTTCACCCCCCAGGTTCTTCAAAGACCTCATATAATTTTTAATAATTCAAATACATTTGCAACTGTGTAACACAAAGGGGAAGTAAAAAATATGCATACATTTTTGAAGTTCCTAAAAATGTTAAGTAATAAATCAGCCTGTGCCTAGATGCATAATTTAAAGATTTATTGAGGATGTAATGAATCAGATAAGCCTGTACTCATTTATGCCTAAGTTGTTCATTAGGAAAACAGTGCGAAGGCCAGTGTAACTATTCATGCATTAATATTTGTGTCAATTATTTGCTGTTGAATTCATCTGATAAATTCTAATCATCAACTATGATATGCATGTGGCTGGAGACTAGCAGAATATGCATTGAAAAAATATCTTATGAAGATACTTTATTATACATAAAATATTAAATAGTATACAGTATTTCATGTTTTAAAAAGTTGATAACAGGAATTATTTACTTTCTATATTAAGTTGGTAGCTCTTAATTGACAAAAACAGGAAAATATTATCTTTGCCAATTAAAGATATACTAAAAAAATAAAAAAATTATTATGCTTACTTTATCTTTAAATTGGAAGTTAGAATACAATGAAAAAAAAATTCCCTGCCAATTAACAGGTCACCAAAAGTCGTGATTTGTCAAATGGTTCAATGGTTTCGCATTTTCAATTTTACTCCTGCCTTTGTAAGCTGTATTAAATGGTGCTATTTTTTAAAATTATTTTTTAAAAGCCAGGCTTTAGAGGAAAAAGAAATATGTTGTACAAATGATTTTTTTTAAATGACACTGAAAATATGTTTGAAGAAAGGCTAACAAAATACCAGATTTTTTAAATATCGGGGCAGGGTATTTAATAACTGGAGCAAAAGGGATGTTATGACTTCAATGTAAAAGTCATCTGTACTACATATTCATTTTTTTTCCACCGGAGCTTGCCTTTAACTTGGCTGGTGATCAATATGTATTTTTAAAGTACTATATAAATCAGCGAAAATGGAATTGTTTCAATTTGCATCTCATTAAATGTTGATAAGTTATAAGTTATACTAATCCTTTTGAAATAAGATTCAATTTTATTATAAAGTATAATACTAACAACCGCATACATATTCCCTGCGTAGACAGCCACTTTTCTAGTAAAATAGGTAAATAGGCAAAATATGAATTGTTGGGTTGCATCATATCACTTTTATTGTCGTAAATCAAAACAAATCAAAGTATACATTAATAATACATTAAAAGAAAAAAAGACCAAAAAGAAAGCTTTCGCTTGTCAAGTTTTGACCTTATAAAATGTAAACTGAATTAGTAACAAGGGCTTAATAATAATACTAATAAAAATATATGCATTAACAATTTAAATAACTGTAAGAGTAATAATAATAATAATAATAATGCACAATTTAATGTCACTGATGTACTATGAATAAACTCTAAATAGAATAATTATGTTCTTATAATTAAATAACATATACCTCCATGGTCTCAAACAAATTTATTATATTTTAAATGCATGCTTGAAGTTTTTTAATAGATTAAAAAAAAAAGATATCTTTAACCTTGTTTTTCTCTTTGTACAACAGCGGTCTCCTGAAAAATTAGATGAAATGGAAAGTAACTGTACCCATGAACCGGCACGGACATTTCCTTGAATTTTAAGGTGGTTTATTATTAGAGTCTTCACTCAATACATTTATACTTCAATCAACTTTACAACCTTTATTGAGTTTGTTTGCTTAAATCTATATATATATATATGTTATTGTTTCCTTCATGATATTTTTGAATGTCATTGATAGGTTTACTGATGTAGGTTATAGTATATATAACTGATAGTTAAATTCCTCAATATGATACCCAGTATATATGTTAAACTATGTTATTAGTGTAATTTATTGATTCTGGAAGCAATGTCCAAAGATAATTTTGTGTATACAATCACTTTTTGAGGTTTAATGATATTAAGGCTTTAATTGTTATATTTTCTCCCAAGATCCCCAATTAATTTATGCACAAGGAGATGAATAAAAAGTAAATACAGTAGATAGTATTTTAGATAAAGAACATTCTTAAAAATTATTGAGGAGCAAGGCAATATTGTTATTGATATTTTTTTATTAACCATTTTTGATGGGTATTACCTTCTGGTTACAAAGCCAGATCTCCCTAATGATATTCCAATAACCAAAAAAGTAACAGTGAATAATTTAACAATTAAAAAAATCCAGAAGTTTACAACTTTTTAAGGACCCATAAAAAGTATCAAATCATCTGCCCAGAATTCCACAGTAATTAAATATACTTTTATCTTGCTTCCATTGTCCTATTTAATCATTTTGCAAAAAAAAAAAGATATTCTATTTTATTTAATAAGTTACAAAAGTTTTTTCAAGCATGTTATACTGTAATATAATATAATAAGTTGTTATGGTATATATTATAAATGCTGTATCATCTCCACCAATACTTCTGCATCTGGGTCTGTATTTTTCCTCCCTCTCGAGTGACCTCTTATACCAAAACCTTAATTTGAGTACCTAGTCAAAAATGGTAACGATCAAAGAATTCTTCAGTGAAATTATACTGTATATAGTAGATTAATTTTGATGATATTTGTCTTCTAAATTATTGTTATGTTTGGGTGAATGTTAATTGTCTCAATGTGAATGGAGGGTTAGAATACTGATTAGATATGTATATCGGCATTTATATAGTACCTTCTTATTTTGGATACTGCCTAGGACTATCTACCCTTTTTTGTATAGTTATATAATACATTAGCTAAATATTGTTTTAAATGTTTCATACTATCCATGTATTTATTCTTACCCATCGAAGAGGCAAATAGATTTTGTTTTATAGAATTTATACACAAGTCAATTGAATGATTTAATAATTTATAAATTAACTAATTGATTGTTTGAATTGTTTTTGAGAAATTGAAGTACATGTGTGAATTTAAAGTGTTCACATTAACAATAAATGCAAATTGCGAAATGAATTTTTTTTTTTATAATTTAGGAAATGTCAGTGTAAATTAGGATTACATTATCACATTGTTTTGGTATATTGATTCTGTTATTACAATGTAATCATTTAACATACTCTCAGCGACATTTTGGGATGCTTTTACCCAGATAAAAATAAAGCAAATTAAAAAGCACATGTCCATAAATGACTGAATGATATGTTTACTGTTGGTTATTGAGACAAGATGGATGAAAATATAGCAAATAAAATGTACAATTTGCCTAGATGCACCAAGACAGTCTGTCTAATGTGTACATCAATCTACCATAATCAGGCATAGGATCAGGAGTTAAAAAATTCCTCAGTCACATGTTATTTACCTGCTGTAAATATATTTTTTCATCATCTGACAGAGAATGGATTTTATATGATTTAATTAAAGGCGAAATACTGAAAACCAATGCAGTTACATTTATAGTATAGCAATATAGTATCCCAACAGTACATATATATATATATATATATATATATATGTATATATAGTATATATACATTATGTGTAATTTGCATATATATGCAGTTCAAGCCTTTAACATCAAGGCCTGAGTCCCTCAATGTGCACTTTTGCTTGTATCCTTAAGCAAGGCACTTTATTTGGCATTCTGTCTCTACCCAGGGTACCTAAGAGGCACTGGTTCTGGCTGCTTAAGGAATGGTGCTCCCTTGGGATTTGTTCTAGGGGTTTGCAATGACCAGGATAACCAGGATAGTGCATTATTATTATTAATTTAATTGATAGGGGTCAGCCATTATTATTGTTGTTTTCATGAATACAAAACATACTCTTTCCTTTCCTCTTACACCCTCCTGCAAAAGAGTACACAATATATTTTTTTGTCAATTTTAAATTATCAATTTTTGTTTAAGTGAGTACATACAAATACAATGGTAACACCCCGAAGAGTATGTTTTGTACTCTTGTGAAAATTATGAAAATAATGCTTGATCCCTTAGGTTGTAGATAAGTACAGTATTATTACTATTTTAAATTGATGTAAGGCATTCTTGCTGTAAAGCACATTTCATACACAACAGTTTTCATAATGTTCTAGTTTTCATATTTCTGATGCCAAAGTAACAACAGATTTTTTTTGTATTGATGGATGGATGTCCTGACGAATTTGGAAGAAAATTAAAGATTGCAATGAGTGTGCAGTACCATGATGTATACCTTGTTTGAACTGGTAATTCAAAATACTGTAGTTTACTAAGTGGCTCATTTGTGTTTTTATGTGATGTCAATGTTTTAGTTTAGCTCACATATGTGTAGATTGTTGAGTTGAAAACATTGTTGTGATCTTTAATAAATGGACAAAAAGGAAGTTGGTTTTGTGGGTATTTTCTTCGATTGTATTTAAGGTAAATCTTTGTACATTAACCTGTACCCAGATTGCACCCAACATTTTATTTGCTCTTTAAGAATAAAAAGTAATTAAGACAGACAACTGTTGAACCTGCTTTTCTTAGAAACAGTAAGAAATGGATTGGTTATATACTTAACAGAAACAGTTTGCTGGAAGATGTAATTGAAGGAAGATTGGAAGGGAAGAAGGGATAGAAGAAAAGGTTCATTAAGCCTTTACACTAGGCGAATATACTAGTGCAAATTGAAAGTGCCGGTTCGCTTTCTGAGCTTTGATTGGTCGCACATTTTTTTCCTTTTTCCTCAAAAAGTAGGAACAGTTTGAACTACAATTTCGCTGAAGCGAAAAACTCCTATAGAAATGCGAATGCACAGGAACCAATGCTTTCAATTCGCGCAATGTGAATCCGGAACCGGCTTTAGACAATTTAGAGTTGGGTGACTATGCTGCAATAAAGAGAAGGCAGAAGATTGCACTGAATGGAGGGAACTATAAAAACAAATTTTACAAGGGCCGGCTGCAATAAGCAAAATACCAATGATGATGATGATGATGATTTAAGATTAGATTAAATTCAACTTGCATTTGGCTTTATTTTTCTTTAAAAAGCTACAGGATATTTAGTCTCAAGCTACAAAGTTAACAACACAAAAATTGCAATCATGAGTGTATTTATTGATAATTGTACGCACATAGAGTACTCTAAATTTGAGTCAAGACACAAATTGTCTCAACTCTTCCAAGTCCTGAAGAAATTGCTTTTTCTCAATATTTTGATAATTCTTCTGAAGCAAGCCATCTCTGTCTATGAGGCAAGCATTCATGCCAGTATCTTGTGCAGCATAAAAATCGTTTTTGACGCTATCGCCGATGTGTAAACATTCACCTGGGTCAAGCTTCATAAGACTCATTGCCATTTGAAAGATTTTAGGATCTGGTTTCTCACATTTTGCAAAAACTGATTGTATGATGAATGCAAAATGGGAAGCAAGGTCTAAGTTCTTTAAAACTGGAACCAGACGTTCATCAAAATTTGAAATCACACCAAGACATATTCCTTTTCTGTTCAGATAAGTTAGTACGTTCTTAACTTCCGGATATACATCCCAATAATGGGGTTCTTGAAAGTCACGGAAAAGCTTCGCTCCAATTTGTTCAAGTACTGTTACGTTAGAATGTCCCAGAGAAGAAAATGTTCTTTTAATAATTTCGGTCCACCATATTTCAGTAGTAGTATTGATTTTCTCTCCATAATTTGGCTGTTTGGACTTTTGCTCTGCATAAGCTTTGAAAAAGGCAGACTGAACTTTTCCAGGATCCGCATGAATACCAAATGTGGATGCTGCTTTCGAGTACTGATGCCCAACAGATTGCTGTACTCGGATTAGTGTATTGTTGACATCAAAGGTGAGTAGCTTTAGTTTATTCATCTTCCAACCTCTTTAATAGCCTGTAAAAGGGAAGAAAGCTGATTACTGATGATCAAATCACTGTATGGTATGAAACTCAGATGCAATTATTATTTATACAAATATATTTAGATTTTTCTATTATTGTATGATATTGATGTGAAATTTGTAACAGTTCAAAAAGAATTTGTTTACATTCAAATTTACTATACTTAGAAAGTAATAATTGATTTTTTGACGACAAATTTGACCACGTGTCCTGGGCACAGCTGACCCACCCACTGGCGCCGCCCCTGCGGCTAGTCCTACCAAATCCTTTTCCTACTGAACTGAACTTAATATTAGGCCTAGGCCCTACGTCTAGTCTAGCCTACTGTAGCCTGGAGCTTACTCAGTACTGTACAGTATATTCTTTATTAAGATATTAATTTTTGTTACTTTGAATGACTGTCCACTATACCAATTTACGCAGGTGTTAACATCGCAAATTAATAATAAATTAAGCAAACAAAGAAGCTCTACCTAACAAATCTGGCTTCCTGGCCATACCGTTTCAAAGCAAGTTGTTTACAATGTTTGAACTTTGAACTTTCGTTCTGTACGTTTGGTTTAGTCAGAGAAATTTGGTCGTTTACCGTATTTAACTCGCGTCAACTCGCGTCAACAAAAGCATAGTCACCACGGTCATCATCAGAATGCACGATGCGTTCCAAAATAAATAATAATAATAATAATAATAATAATAATAATAATAATAATAATAATAATAATAATAATAATAATAATAATAATAATAATATAAGTGAAAAAATGTATCTACCATTTGTGAAATCCACCCCGCCCTCCTGGATCTAATCAATATTGATACAAACCCTTGGGAACTTATTTTCATATCAAAATCAAGGTTCATACTAGAATATATCGTCTACGCACATCTATCTACTGCAATCGTGTGACGTGTCGATAAAGTAACTGAACAAATTGCTACTTAAGGAAAAATCAATAAAAATACCTGTACTACTTTCTCGTCCCCTCGCGTATCCATTTTCTCTGCCTCACCAAATGCTTTTTTTAAAAACTATTTTAATATTTTTTTTCATTTTAGTAATTTTGCTCTGTTTTTAATGTATTGTTCAAATAAATTAAATAAAAAGTAATCAAACTATTTTTTTAATCTTAACACAAAATTTATTGACAAAAAGGATCGACGTTTCGTGTCCATCATGGACGCATTCTCAAGATCAAGTGAACAAAAATAAATATAAGATAGTAAACCAAGTGTAGGTGTTACTATCTTATATTTATTTTTGTTCACTTGATCTTGAGAATGCGTCCACGATGGACACGAAACGTCGATCCTTTTTGTCAATAAATTTTGTGTTAAAGTTATATGGTAAACGTCTGTTGATTCGTAATTTTTTTAATCATTTAAAAAAAATTTAAGTTCGCAAATGTATGTTGACGTATGTTGACGCGAGTTACCTGAAGTTGACGGTAATGTATATGGACGACGAAGTTCATAAAGCAAGAGCGGCTTTTTCAACTGTACGACGGTTTTGTTCGTAATGAAACTTTCAAAACCTGCAATGCTAGCAGTTCACCGATGAAAACAATTTCAATCAGCATGTTTAGGTAATAAGTAGTAAGATTTATGGCTAGGCTACTTAGGCCTAGAAATAGCAGGGAGCTCTGTTCTTTTTTCTGCTTCTCTAGCCTAGGCCTAGGCCTAGGCTGGCCCTAGCACCAATAAAAATCGCCTAGGGGGCCTAGGCTCTAGAGGTTGCTTAATATTCTCCTAGCCTAGGCTAGGCCTGGGTTGCCCAGCCTAGACCTACTTTCTTGACTCATCTTTCATTTAGTTCGCTCCTCATTTCAGTCGCGCCGCATTTCGGTCGCGAATAATATAGCTGCAGTATATAACGCCGATATAAACACTAGTGAGAGGTTTATTTATGATGTTTGAGAAAGTAATTTTTAAAGGGTTGTGAGTTTTTTGTGTGTTTTAGGTTAATGAGTATCAATTTTATTTATCATTACGATGTCTTAACTATATGGAATACACTGTACAATAAATAAAATCATTATTCATGTAATATAAATGAAATCAAATGAAGTGTTAAAAGGAACCATAGCAGGATCATATTAACAAAGTTGATAATGACAATGTATGATTAGGTTGAACACAAACTTCAATGCCATCACAAGTGTTTCTTTTCGTTTCTTTTTATAGTTGTAGTTTTTGTAGTTACTATCTATAAATTATATTAAAACTATATTTTACTATATTTCAATTTATTTGTGTATTATTTATAAACATGATCAGCAAACAGCAGAGATGATTTGAGGATGATACAATGCATGAGGTAGGTGAACACCTGTGACACATCTTCACTGCCATTGCATGTTTTTTGTAAAAGAGCAAAAGAACACAAAGTGATACTGTGGCATGGTGCTGTAACATTAATAAATAATACACTAATACTAATAAAAAATAATTGGTAATATTTTAGTTGTTTTTTGTAAAAAAGAAAAATAATAATAGTAACTGTAATATTAATAAATAATACATGTTGCAGTAATGTAAGTTTCGTGTTTAAAAAACCGTATACTGCTTAGCTACCTTTTTCTGGATTCGCGGTCGCACTTTCTGTGCTCCATATACCGCAAACTATATACTGCGACCGAAATAAAGCACAATCGCACTGATCGGCTTACCGGCTCTAGGCCCCTACCTGTACTAAATTTGCTGGTGGTAGAAATTTATAATAGCCTACATGTAAGTATTGTGTATACACAAACTTTTGGAATGGCACTGTTAAAATCATTTTTATAATTTTACTGTTGGCCTCCTATTCGTTTATGTTGTTTATATATAGGCCTAGGTACGATTTAAAATCCTGTATTATAATGTATTAGACCTATTGTAAACTTGTTTTTTGTTTTTATTCATAATTAGACACAACAGAAATAATCCTGTACACGTTTTCGTAGCTATTGGGGTTACTCATGGTTATTTTTCATGTCTGTTATCTTGCATTTTTCTTCTTTGTTTTTTTTTTAGTACAAATAAAGAATGTATGAATGAAATGAATTATTATTTAACATCTGTAAATTGATAAGAAAATGTTTTCTATTTGAAATCTATTATACTATATTAATATACAAATTAAGCAATTAAATTTTTTTTCTTTTAATTTCCAAGTTTTGTGGCAGTATATCATTATATTTTTTTTTTGTCTTCCATGGGTATAGCCCACCTTTATTCTCTCTTTTTTCATTGTTTTCATTTTTTTCATTAACTCTTGTTAAGGTTCAATAAACATTATGTTCAGGATTTACGTGAAAGTAAAGCAAAAAATAAATAAAAACTTCATGTGTCTACCACGAAGTACACTATCACATGAAATTTTTATAAACGATTATTATTTTGATAAATTTTTACCTATTAGTACTTGATTTTTTTCTATAATTTAACAATTATAAGTATATCATTATATTAAATTATTATTATTGGTTTTCTTTTTACATTTTCAATGATTATTATATAGTTGAACACTGCAACATTTTAAAGTCATGAAAAGAAACAGCAGAACCACAATACCAGTACCTGCCAGGTTGAATAACAGAAACCAACATAAAAATGTAAAGTCATCTGTCTCTCCACTTACTCCATCAACTCTAAGCAAACATTATGCTGCAGAAAACAGACAAGGTATGCTTTCCATTGGAATAATTGCTAACAAAAAATATTTGCATTGAAAATAATGTTTAAGTCATTTTCACTAGTATAGCTTTAAATGTGTTGATTCCAAACATCCTTTTATTTTTTAATTTCTTGGTTTGTATTTTTTTACACAATTATTTTTTTCAAGGATATTAGAGGTCTAACATATAATTTTTCTGCTGAAGAAACTAAAATATTGGCGATATATAATATGATAAACTAAAAATAAAATTATCTGTTCACAGAAACATCACCCTCTAAGTACCCAGTCCGATATATCACAGAAAATTTAATCCAGAAAGTTTCAGGTAAAGAGAATGTGGCGTGGGTGACAACACTGAAATTGAACCTTCAAAAAGAAGGTGGCAAAAGATTCAAGGTACCAGTACTTTAATAAACTTACTTAATTTTTTTATTGTAATTTTAAATTTTGTATACCACAGTATAAATGCATTTCAACTGATATTATCTTTGTTTTAAATTAATAGTGTAATATTTTTTTCTCATGATTTTGTGTAGTACTCAATCAATGGTTATACAACTTAAATGTATTTTATTCAGGATATTATTTTCAAATCTCATTTCATCTGGTTTTTTTTCCCTGTAAAATGTAAGTATATAGAGAATCTGGAAAAATGTCGACATCTTGAGGTGTTAAGTCTCAGTTGTAATCAGATTGAGAAGATTGAACGGTTGGACAACCTGACAAGACTGAGGGAATTGGATCTCAGTTTCAACTGTATCACACATATAGAAGGACTTGACACTTTAGTTGGGCTTCAGAAACTAAATCTTTCTGGAAACCTTATTGAATGTATTCCATCAGGAATTGGAAAAAAGCTCAAAAGACTGAGGGTGTTACGTGTAACCAGGAATCTACTTTTCTCAGTAAGTAGAAACAGTATTCTTGCTTTTTTAATTACAGTGCAGGATGGTGTGTGTGAAACTCTGCTTAAGTAATGGAGGAGTTCAAAGTGTTACTACTCATGTTTGAAAACGTAGCTTAGTGGTCATGGTGGTTAAAATGCTTGTAGTAATCATATACTTGCTTAATCGTAATTCTGTAGTCTTGGCCCCAAATCCTGCAATAGTCCTAATGAATAAGAAATGCTTCCCTAACCCCCATAATGATGTTTTAAGGGTCTATGCAAAATAATACAGGAACTGGATGAATTTATGTGTCATTTTTTTTTTCTCATTTTAATTTCCAATTGAAAGTTCATAACTTTCTTTTTGTATTTCATCATAGATATTATATCATAAACAGTCTTCAGTAAACCACAAATATAAACAATTGTTTTGACAATCATACTTAATCACTGCATTTTCTCATAGCTGCATGATATTGCCCATCTTCGTCCAATGAGAGATCTAACTCAGCTTTCAATAGAGCAGAATCCATTGTGTGAACTTCCACATTTTCGACAGTACATCATTTTCCAGTTGCGGTCAATAGAAAGCTTGGATGGGCTCCAAATCACTCATGCAGATCGTACCAATGCCAATGAACGATTTGAAAAGGGTATTTCATTATCATATTTCTGTGAGAAATTATTTATAATAATTTAACATTGGTCTACATATATTACTTCAATAATTCCAAATATATTGAAAATTTTACAACAATTATAACTGTATTTATATAATATAATTTAAATAGTGAAGCTGAATTTATATAAAACAAAATAAATAATACAAGGCAACAGTAAAGATAACAATTAAATATTTTTAATTGTTTGTGAATTAAGTACAGATTATTAACTGGGTCTTTTGATTTCTGTTTAATGGAGTCGTCGTCATAGCGTACTCTTATCAGAGCGTAGCTTCTCTCATAGCAACATTATACAAATTTCTATTCTGTGCAATCCTTTAAAGGGAAATTTTATAAAGTTTATTAATAATCAGTGAATCAATCAATCAAACAATAAATCAATAAGTCCATTAACCAACCAATCAATCATTTTTCTATATATTTGGTTTTGTTGCACTAGTCACTAAGACTATCCTTAAGGTTGTCAATGGCCTCTGAACAAGAAACTTTGAAATCCACTAGTCCAGTTTTTAACCATACATTTATTTCATTTTGCTTTCAATTAATTTATGTATACAATAATGTTTTTTTTTTGCTATATATTTCTAGAGGAACTTGAGAATTTAGAAATACAGATAAGCAAAGATAATGAAAAGATAAGAAATCTTGAACTGAATCAATCCAGAAATGAAGAGGAGATGAAAAAGAAAGATAAACATGGCATCCAGTTACAGCAAATGAATGAAGAACAGAAGAATGCAATGAAAGAATTGCAGAGAGAAGTGGAAACAAAAAATGAATTGGTTAGTTATTTTGTAATTATATCCTTTCCAATGGATTGTACTCAGTAATGTTCTCCCAATAGATTTCATTTTAAATACATTTATTATTAGAAGTTATAAAAACAAATCCCTAGAAACAGAAAAATTATACAGAAATAATACATTGTATAAACTTAAGCAATATGCACATCAATAGATGGTGGTTTTTTTTTTTTTTTAAATAGCAATTAACATTATGGTAATGATGCTGATGATGATTAGTATTGTGAATAATATAATTATGATGAGGATGATAGTAATGTAGATGATGTTTATAATGATGATAATATAACTATTACCTTGTGTTTGATATATCAACTCATTTCATAAGTCTCATCCTGCATTCATTTATTTAGCTTAGAAGAAAAACAGCTGAATTGACGAAGGCTTGTGAAAAGCAGTATAGACTTGAGCAAGAACTTGCATTCTATAAGATAGATCACAAGTTTGAACCCCTTGGCCCATATCCAGAGGTAAAGATTCATATCATTTTCTATTTTTCTCACTGCAATCATGCTTGTCATTGAGGATGCATACACTGACTTTGTTATTGTCATCATTTTCATCATCATCATCAGCATCATCATTATCATCATCATTATTGTTACATTGTCATTTTTATTATTATCACTATCGCTAATTAGCTTACCAGAACAACCTTTTGCTAAGGAATTGAGTTCCAACCGTTTTCACTCATTTTGCCATCAGCATTCATTCTTGAATTGTCATCATCACTTGAAAAAGTTCACTGAAAGGAATCCTTTTGCTTGATACATTTTGCTAGTCAGTAAGTTCTGTTGGCCTTATTTTTTTTATTGCTCTACCTAATAACATGAGTCTAAACTCCCTTTTAGATAAACAATGAAGTAGAAGATGGGGGAACAGAAGAAGCAGCTTACTTGGGTAAAGCTTTTTTCAAGCGTAATGCGTATGCTGGAGAGGGCGTATTTGATGTTAAACGAAGGAGAATTCTGAGGATGCAGCAAGGAAACGAAATGAGTCAAGAAAAAGCAGAGATTGAACAGCAGTTACAGAAGGTTGCTGATGATCGATTGACTGAAAAGGAAAGACAAATTGAAAGAGGTGAGGCTTAGGGACGGGTGGTGTTTTGGGCAAATTCTGGGATTTTTATCTCCAGATCCCAGAATTGAAAGGTTGATCTGCTTAACCATAGTTCACTGCTATTATAAAAAATAATGTTAATATTAATGTTTCATTATAGAAAGTGAGACTTAAGTGGAGTGATTGTATGAGGTTAATTATCCAGTATCTGAAGTTAGTTCAATTTTTTATACTTTTAGCTGAATCACGACTTCAAAAATTACAAAATGAACTGAGAAAAACTGAGCAGCAAGTCTTATCAGCGTCTGAAGAGTTGAAAAACATTTCTAATGTGCAACCATCTAGTGTAAGTTCACTTACCCTGCCAGTATTTTCTATCTCTATCTACATGTTATGTACAATAAAAAATATTTTTTCATACACTGTATTTTACAATGTGTAAGATCGCCATATAGGGAGCAGATAATATTGTACCCTTTATAACCTATATAGTTAATAATAATGCATTTAAAACTTACAACTCTTTTATTAAAAAGATAATGATTTGCATAAGACATTTGAAAAGAATAGGAACAATCAAATTCCATTTTGCTGTATTTAGAAGTAATATACTCTTTTACAGATGTCTCCGGAACAGAAGTTAGCACTTCAAAACCAATTGGCTGATAAGATGACAGCCATTAATCAGTTGCGTGAACAGGTGATGCGCATTGAGGATGATATGGACCGAACCAACAACATTATACATCAGAAAGAGAGAGAAATGGCTCAGCTTAGGCGCCAGTTGGAAAAAGTTGCTAAAGAAGACCCTAAGCATGTGAGTTATCAATTGTTTCACTTTTTTATCTTTTTTTCCTTCTTCATCTCCTTCTTGATTGCCAGGCAACTACTATGAGCATATTGTGATGTTCATGGGAACGCAATATGCCGAGGCACATGCAACAGATTTTTTTTAATGACGATCCACTTATATTTTTCTTATTTTTTTTTAGGCCGAGATTCAAGCTGCAATGAAACAGGAGAAAGCAGCTGTCGGAAGAGCTGTTGAAGATTCTAAGAAACTAAAAGAAGATATGGATCGAATGTTGGTAACAATTGCTAAGGAAACTGAAGCTCTGAAAGATCTAGAAGAAAAGCTTGTTCTTGGTAATTATAAATAATATATATTTTAATCAGTAGTATTGTTTTTGAAATTTTCTTGTTTTTCATTGACTTTCAACCATTAACTTCAGGTCAAGCTGATATGAATGATGAGCTGAAAGATGATTTAGAAGATGTTATTAAAGGATTAACAGACTACTTAGATCGGGTCAAGAAGCAAGCAGAAGAGTGTCAGCGAGAAAACCAGATCCTTCATCAAGAAAAGGATTCCTTAGTAGGAGAGTTAATACATGCTGAACAATTGAAGAAAGAATTAGAGGCAGAAAAACTTCAAGCAAGACAAAAACAAAAGGTTCATTTCTTTAGATGTATTATTTTGTCTGTTAGATGAGTATAAAAGATAGACAAAATTAAACTCTATCTTCACATCCTTCGGAATATCCCGCTAACTAATACTGATAGTAATAATACTGTACATATGACAACTCAACCTACATAACATATGTTGTTACTGCAAAATAGGGTTGCTACAGAAACTGTATAATGGAGATCAGTGAGGAATTAATATGAAAGAAAAAAAACAACACAAAATAAATAAAGTTCCTGAGTCAATGTTGTGAATACCAGGCCCATACCTAATGTTTTCGTGGTTCAGTTGAATAATTGGAGAGACAGGGGAATGTTCCCCAAATCTCTTTTATATAATCAAAACTGTATCTTATTAGCCATTCTTGATTATTACTTCAAACACTTCTTTATTGTACAACATATTAAAATTATTTACCTTCCTCTGGAGCCTGGCTTTAAACCAGCACCAAGCCTCAGTTCCACTACTTAGAAAGGAACCTGATTGTTGTATTTAATTGTTAAGCATACAAGAATTTTTAGAAAGAAATTAGAAAATTTATGTTTTTACGGTTAGCATGTGGATGATCTAGAAGCTACGTTGGTAGAACTGCAAGAAGATAATGATGCCCTCCAGAAGTCTATGAACGAAACTAGTAGACATATACCAGACCTTAGGCAGAAACTAAAACGAACCCAAGAGGATAATGAGAGGCTGAAGGCTGCCCTCACTGGCAGAGATACAAATGCTAATGTAAGTTCCTAAAATAATTGTTTTTGTTTACAAAAATGCTTTATATATCTAAAGGTTAATAGTGTTATTTATCTTCTTCCGCTTGAGTATCAACCGTTGATTTGGTCTCACCAATTTAGAGCTTGTTGAAGCAATCCCCATCCCCTTCTTCCCCCACCTTCCATGCTGTGTTTTTTTTTAGGCAATGAAGTTGTTAATAATATTATTGTTGTAGTTTGCTGCTGCTATTGCTATTGTAAATTATATTATTTTTCAAAAATGTTGATGTATGGCCCATGTCTTTATAAGTATTTTACTTGTACTTGTCCATTATATTATACATCTATATTGCCTTTGTAAAGAAATTACTATTATAATAATTATTATTTTTATTTAGGATAAAATACATGCTTTAGAAGATGAAAGGGAATCCCAGAACAGAACAATAGTGGAATATAGAGATGCTAATGAGGCTAAAGAGCAAGAGAACCAGAGGCTTGTTGAACAACTCAAGGCATTACAGGCAAGATATAGACACTTAAATATCTGGTTATTTATTTGATATTATTTAATTTTATAAACACACATGATTATATGATACCTTAAAATCCTGACCTTATAATCACCAGGTCATGATAAGTCCTGCAAATACAATGTTATGATAATAATGATTGTACAACATGGGAAGCTACAATGTTGCTTTTTCATAATTCTAACTCCCTTTTATTTGTTTTTGAATCTGTTCATTGTTTAACTTGATAAGGGGCAGGTTTCAGGAGGATTGATTGTGCCTAGGCTATGCAATTACATTATTCATCGATAACATTGATTTTGAAGTACTGTATAATTTAGATGTCATACCTTTCTTGCCATTTAAACATTTTTTTACAAAAATCTAATTATTTTTGTTCATTGTAGGCAATCAATAATTCAATGAAGGATAATCTGAAGGATCAAGAAGATATGATGAACAATCTAATGAATGATTCCATCAACCCTGATGATGTGATGAGAAGAATTGAGGAAGTCAAGGAAAGGATCCAAACAAGGAAAGGCAGATTGAAGCCTACAGGAGAAGATGACCAAGTGGGAAGATCGCTAGGTAATCTTCAGGATTTGATGGAAGGAAAGTTAAAGGAAGCCAAGAAGGAAGTTCAGAAATCAAAAGAAAGGCAAAAAGAGGTACAAATTAACATTTAGGAAATGCAGCAAAATGCAAATATTAATTTTTAATAGTTTCCAATTTTGCTCAATCTATCAAAAAACAGAACATTCTTGTACTGCCAGGAATAATTAAAATGTTAACATTCTTAATTTAGGGTGAGGGAGATAAGTTGATGTTCGTGTAAATTGTTATTTCTTTGGTATATCTTTAGGCTGAGGCAGAACTAAGGGAGATGAAGCAACGATTAAGACAACCCCATCTTCCTGGTGATTCTCCAGTAAGAGAGGTAAACATGTATTTAACCAAAGTTGAAGTATTCATAATAAAAAAAATATTTGTTATAAATAAATAACAACAAAAAGTTTGTCTTCGGCATTGGGAGATAGGGGTGTTATTCCCATAGGATAATTCTAAGAATTGAATATTCCTGCAGTATCATTTGTCCTAGTTGAGTAATTTGAGAGCTTTTGATTTGTGCCAACATAGAACGTAATGATGTCATGTTAATTAAACTGCGCATCTCTAAACGTTGTGTTGCGTTCTCTCCTGAAATCTGGAAGGGTTGTCGGCCGAATCTAGGTTCAGGCAAAACAAGGACTGTACTGTATTGGTGCGTCAGTCTTTGTGTTTGTGACATCTCCACGTACACATCGTAAAACATAAAAATTGATTTACAGTAGGACGTAGAACGCATACGATGACAGTCACAGATAAGTGAATTAATTCTACATTCTCGTTCTACGTTCTCAAACGGAAACTCCCTACTAAGGAATTTGGGCTGGGGCCATGGGGACCTGAAGCAACCACAATGGAGTACCACTCTTGGTAAAATTTATGTCATTGAATTCACCATATAATTTCCCATAGGATGATAGGAATGATGAAATCAGGGCTCTCCATGAAATGATTGACGACTTGCGTCAACAGCTTCAAGATCCTCGAAACAAAAGAGGGAAAGATGAAATAGATGCAGTGCAAATACAGGTGTGTATGCTATTTACTGTTTTAATTTTTCTTCTATGTGATATATTTAATGTAAAGGGTTAACTTATGAATCATTCATACATTTATATACTGTATAGCCTGATAATTAATTTGACATTTCAGAATAATGTTCTGATCAAATAGAGTGTCCTTGGCACACTTAAACAATATCGGCCATTGGCATTTGTTCTATTTTGCTTAATGGACCAAAAAACAACAGTGTTAAAACCAGGGAACTGTTCCTTGGTTAAAACATACACAAACATGTGCGTTTGTAAGACAACACTGTGCTTGTTACACACGCCCATATTTCCTGGTCCTTTTCTGATTGGTCAGTTGTTACTTCTAATTTTGATTGACACTACGGAAAGGTCCATTTAAAGATTGTATACTTACTGTCTGTGTTGAGATGAAGGGAAAAGAAAATATAAATCAATATATGAACTGCATACTTTAGATATTTAAGTAAGGTATTGGTATTAGCTTTCAATGAGGTAGAACCGGAAACATATTGTCAAGTAACTGATGCAGTTATAATACCATTTCAACATTCCTTGCATACACCATTCAAATAGTTGCCAGATAATGTAAGAATTTTGGTAATATAAAAAGTGCAAGAAAGTATAATACATACTCCAAGTATTGAAATACACGCCATCGTGTTGGGATTCAATATTTCAACATTAATTATGTTATCATAAAAAGTGCAATTAAGCATACACTTAATTATTTCTGTCTCATTGAAAGTTGATCCTTTAAGAATAGTTGTTTGAACAACTATGTTTGAATTCAATGAAGGATTTTCTAGATCTAGAACAAAAAAGAACTTGTTTAAAGATTTTTCAACTGTTTTATATATAAATAAAAATGTTATTTGTGAATCAAATTGGTTATTTTAGGATGCTTGGCATGACTGGGAGCTGAGTGAACCAAGAGACACAATGAGAAGAATGGGAAAAGCCAAGGATGGAATGGAAGCAAATGATGGATTAGAAGAAAAGGTAGTTTATATGATCTTGCTATGTTTACAGTGTCTATTTCATGAATACTTACCAGGAAGAATCAGGTATTTCACTCGTAGACCAACAAAGTCATTGAAACTGACGATACTTCTCATCTTAAAGTTGTTTAGGGGTGGGGGTGGTGGGATGGATTGACAATTAATCAGATGTGAAGTGATTCACACTGTTTCATCCTTAGGTGCAAGTATCCTTAGGTGCAAGTAGACAGTTGATTGATTGATTGGCTAATTGATTGATATATATTTGTATATAATTGTCTCAAGATAGAATAAATATTAAATAAATAAATAAATTTTGCTTGGCTGCAACATTATTACCAACTAAACATTTACTTTATTCTAAACTGTATAATAAATATGTTATTTTAAGAAATTATGTAATGGTTTTATGAACAATAGTTTTCTCAGAACTTGAATAAAAACAAAATTACAAAAAGCATATCTTGTGTTTAGATTCATGACCTAGAGACTGAGCTTGAACATGTGAAAAACAAACTTCAACAGCAAGCAAATCCATCAGGAATAGACGAGAAGAGCAGGAGAAAACCTACTGCAAAATCACAGAGGGATATAGAAATCATGAAACTCGATGCTATTGCAGACGTTAGTTGACTTTACAACGTGTTTTTTAATTGCTTTCAAACAATTTTTAAATTTCGTATATGCATAGAGAAAATAGAACTGTTCTATTTTCTCTATGGTATATGAGTGTGTAAAATTACCAATTGTCTTAATTACTGTAATTTATTATTTACTTATATGTGTATGTTGTGAATAATTTCTTGGATAAACAAACTGACTTTGCTTGAAAGTGCTAAAAAATCGACTGTGTTTGAAAGTTTCCATTTTGGGTGTTCCATGATTATACAGAAGCTTATTTTAAAAATTAATATTATTTATTTATTGGATACACATGAGTCAAGCACAGACTTGTGTTTAAATTATTATTTATTCATTGGCTACATCATCAGCTAAACACAAACTCTTTGTCTGCATTAATAATTACTTTGATTTATTCATGATACAGTGATGATCTTACACAGTGACTACTTATTTATTGGATAAACATCAGCCAAACATAACTGTTGTTCAAATTACTATTATTTATTTATCATATACATTATCAGCCTTATACTCAACTGTTGTCTAAATTATTATTATTTATTTGTTAGCTACAAACACAGACTGATGTCTACATTACTAATTACTAATTTATTCACAATATGTCAATGATCACACCCGAACTGTTGTGTAAATTACTATCTTTTATTCATCATTTGTACAAAAGTTTTGGCATATGATCAGTCAACAACATTTTAATTCTAACTTCACTTTAACTGTTTTATTGCTACTTTTGTGTAAGGAGAGAAATAAAGAGGCCTTGCCCAAGTGCATACATTTTCACATCAGAGTTAAATTTGATTTTGAATTTTGTAGGCTTACTAATAAGCCCCCATAGACCAAAGTACTGAGCAATTCTTATAATGCTAGAAATTGTCACATTTATTTTTTTTCTATTAATTGGAAAAGCCATAAATGTTTCATTTACCGTTTGAGCTACATATTAATTGGATATTATTAATTTTTTTTCTATGCATTAAAATGTGATTTTTGTGTCACTGTATTTAAAAAAAATTGTTATATGAGGCTTGCCATCCAAAAACTAGCATCATGGAGGATGCTAGCATCCATGACTAAGAAAAATAACATTTGAATTTTGAATATATTCATATTCTCCACATTGTAAGCTTTAAAATGATGGGTCACTTACTGGCATTGACTTAATATTGCCAAAGTTATGAGTAAAAGTATTACAGCTTCTCTGTACTAAAGTATACAACACTGGCACATTCTTATGCTAATTACTCGGTTTAACATATAGGGACAGTACACTGGTTTTGTTCTGGCAAACCTCATATTTTTTCAATTGTGATAATATATACACTAAATCTATACAGTGTGCAAACTCATCCACTCGCTTCAAATTACCCTAAGTAAGCAAAGTATGTATTCCTGTAATAGCACTAATTCAATATTACATATCTTGGTCTCACATGTACCTGGGAAAAAGTGAGATTAATGCAGATAAACATTCTTGCCAAGGACACAAACAGTATAAACATACCCTGAGTCTTTGTATTTACATTAAGGCGAGACTTTTTTTATACCTTGTTCCATGAACTTATTTTTTACAGGTCGTAAGAAGAGGGCGAGCGGAGGAAAAATAAACATAAAATTTTGGTTTTCATTTAGCAAAGAGTTTTGCCATAAACATCCAGGCGGAGGAGAAAATAAAAATTAAATTTTATTGGTGAATGTAAACGGTGTAGTAATGGGATGGTTAAATGCTTTAAATTTGTATAATTAGGAAGAAATATACATATCTTATTTTTTGAAATTTCAAGGAAGTGGCGGGCGTAATAAAAATGATAATTTGTTGTGGCGGTGGTTATGCTAATTGGCCAAAAATAAAATGTTATTGATATTTGAAATCATCATTATTGTCCGACGGCAGGTTCACTAAACAAGGTATAAAGAAAGTCTTGCTGTAAATCATAGTATATTTTTATTCACAAACTTGTGCTTCTATTAATTAGGCTGAGGCTCATGCAAGTCAAACAGTCAGACAAGCTGCGAGAGAGTTGTCGAAGGCACAAGAAGAGATAAATGACCTCGAGCATGCTCTGTCTGAGCGTGAGAAGGAATTAGTGCATGAAATTGACAGAGGAGACACGGCTACACACACAATAGGTGTGTGCTAAATATTTTATGACATGTAATTTAATTGTATCTTAACATATTGATCGACATGTTTATTTTAAATTTTACTGCCAGTCTGTTTCATGTGACATTTGCATGTATTTTGCACAAAAATGACAAATTATTAAATAATTTAACTTTCCTTAAAGTAACCTAATTAAACCAATCCCTAAAACTAAACTAATTTAATTCATAGTAAATAAGTCAATCTGAAAAGAAAGTTTGATAAATATGTTCATTTTCATGAAATCCTCACATTTGTTTGTGTTGTATTCTTCTTGTACAATATCTCTTACATGGAATTTCTATGTAATATCTGATTTTTGTAGAATCCACAAGTCTGCTCCATATTACTGATGTGAACTGGTAAAGGAAAAACATAATTATGGAACCGTCTTTCTTAATCATAGGTCATGCTACATTGCTTAAACAATGAAATAACTTATCAAGACATACTATATTTTGTTATTATCGATTGATTTGATAATAAACGTTGATTGCTATAAGAGAACTATACAAATGTTTAGATTATGACTATTAGTGAAGCATCATGATCAACTTTGCCAACTCTCATTCCAACACATTCATTTTAAACTTAGGATTTGTTGTCTTTTCTTTTTTAAGGTGAACAGCAACAAGAGATAGGCATCCTTTACGAGACACTTGAAGACCAAAAAGGTGAAATCCTTCGACTTCACAACCTGTTAACTCAAGCATTACAATCTGAAGGTATGAAATATGATATTTTTCATATTGTGTCATAAATGGTAGAAATACATTTAATTAATTGTTTTGTCAGCCTCCAAGGGTTGTCATTCACGAAACACAAAATAAAAAACAGTCTTTTGTGAACGATCTTTGAAGAAACTAATATATGTCTAATTTTTCTTGGAGAACTCTATGCTTGCAGAACTATACAAGAATAAGTATATATATGATTATATTTCATATGAATGTTGTTGAGAAAGCATTTCTGTAAACTGTTTTGGCTGATCATTGTTTTGTTTTTAAATTTGACAGATGAAATTAATCAGGAAAATGACCCAATACAGGCATTGCTGAAGGAGGTAGAATCACTAAGAAGAGCAGTAATAGAACAAGGTGAACGAGTTGCTGAAGTTGGTACACCAAAACAACAGGGGATCTTGAAGAAAAAGGTAATTCATTTTAATTTAAGAGTACTGTATTTAATTCTATAATTAATTATTTCCTTTCTTATCTAATTTGTGCAATATTGATTATTTTTATCAGACAAATATTCAATTCAATTGCTGCTTTTTCATGTTCTGACATTTTGAATAAGTATTTCATTTTTTTGTATTGCTGTGCAATTTCTGTGCTTCTAATTGTAGAATCTAATTTCAGTTGATCCATTTTATTTATCTTATATTTTGGAATTTTATATTCATAACTATACAAAATAGAAAATGTACAACATACTGTGTACTTAACCTAAAGAATATTCCTAACACACTTCACCTTAAATGCAAGTATTCAACCACTAGTATTTGCAAAATGTTAATTCATCTCAAACACAGTGTATACATGTAGGTCAGTTGCATGATTAATATTCAAAAGAAATATACTGAATTAAATCAAATGGTACAGTATTTTCAAGCACATTTGATACTGGCTCAACATTTATCAATCAATACAAATGATATTTAACACCTGACAATTGGAATAAATACTATAAATATTGGCTACTTAGTCGACTACCCTCCATATTACAGACATTTTGTTTTCAATTTGTCTAATGTCTAATAGAAAAACGCATTTCTTTTTACGTTATTATGTAGGTCCACAGGTCAGGTAGACAACCTTATTCTAATGTCGGTGGGGATTCAAGACGCAGAGGATTACGATTTTCTGAAATTGTAAATGGAGAAAATGACCATGATAGTAATCAGCAAGGTGATAGAAGCAGCTATATCCAAAACCCTAACACATATGGTATGTGGGTTATTTTAAATAAACAAACTGAATTTATTGTAGTCAATATTTAATGACTGTGCACATGTATATTATATAATGCCATGTCTCCATGAAGTACATGCAAACAATTACTTAAAAAAACATGATGAATTGATGAATATAATATAATAGAATAATATATATTTAAAAGGAACAGGAAACAAAACCACAAATCATGTGATTTACAATTTACAGTACAACTTACTTGTAACTTTCAGGTGCTGGTAGAGAGTTTTGATACTTGCTACGGAACTATAGGCTTAGTGCATACAGCATCGTTCTGCTACAATATGAAATATAATTTTTTTTATAGGTCATCCACACTCTTTAGAATGGATATCTTCAGGACAACCTCATCGATTTGCATTCACACCACAAGCTCCTACTGCTACATCAACACCTCATTCAGTTAGGCCAGTACATCAAATGCCATCTCTGCAACTACTTGAACATCAAATCCCAACTCATCAACCACCTACACATCAAATGCCACCTCATCAACCACCTACACATCAAATGCCACCTCATCAACAAACTACACATCAAATGCCACCTCATCAACCACCTACACATCAAATGCCACCTCATCAACCAACTACACATCAAATGCCACCTCATCAGCCACTTACACATCAAGTGCCACCTCATCAACCACCTACACACCAAATGCCATTGCATCAACCACCTACACATCAAATACCACCACCTCACGAAGCACCACCACATCAGCCATCAGGACAGTTTACAACAACCCCAGGTAAACAACGTACTACTATTGCTGTTGATGACCTGAAAGAACGTGGAAGTCAAAGGAGGATGGAAGTGCCTGATGATGTTCTGTTTTGCAATGTTCCTGAACATCATGACTTGGTAAGTGTTTGTCTTGCTTCAATAGCATCTCTTGTGTGTCAAATGATGATGAAGGCATCCAACATAAAATATTTAAAAGAAAAAAAATGCAATTGGGGGAAATCAATTGAATTTTTGATTGGGGTGGAATTTCCAACTTTATCGCCTTTGCTCAACAATATGGTAAAGGAAACATTATCATTACAGGTAACCACTCATTTCATGAAAATTAATTGTCAATGAACTTTTGGCTTTTTGTGTTTTTTTGTAACTGAATCATAATTCTGGGTGATTATACTCAAATATAGCAAGATTATACATGGTCACATGTACAACTCAACTTCTTTAGATCTTGTTATGATATTTTCTTATATTGTTGATTTTATCTGTTTATATATAGGAGGATTATGTTAAAAATCTTGAGAGAAATATTACTCAACTAGAGGACGATTTGTCTAAACTTGAAAATACATCTGCCAAGAACAAAATGGTATGGCACATGTAAATATTTGTTATTAAACATTATGGTACACTTTCTTGTGTGCATATGTTAAAGACTGGTTTCCATAAATATTGCTACACGCTATCACCGACTCCTTTGGCGATGTTGATTGGTCAGTTGAGCGTTCCTGATTGCATCGGGGACAGCTACGCAGTGCAACGATTACAGTAAAGAAACTGTAGTGACAGTGTAGCAATTGTTTGAGAACCAAGCTTAGGTTTAACTTATGATTGCTTCTGCTCTCTAAGCTTTATAACACAGGTGGGTAGCGTGCGGCCCGCAGGCCACATGTCAGTGATTTTATTGCAAACAACCTCTGGCTAGAACACACTGCAAGCACACTGGAAATGTCAAAGTTTTGGTGTAGCCCTCAGTGTTATATCAGAAATTCTCTTTGGACCTCCGACCCACCCCTGCCTTATATTGAGATTTAAGATTTGATAGACAAGGGATTTTGGTAATATCTCAGGAAATTTACTGTCCTCGACAAGCCCTGAAAAGATTCCGAGACTGCACATGTGATTACCAGAGCTTATTTGCTTCACCATCTCTGAGGCATTTCAATGTAGTGAGCTACATATGCAATACTAATGTACTATGTTGCTTGATACCGTCATTTCCACATTAGATGTGGGTTGCATTTCTGTTTTGCATTGTAAAGAAAATATAAAGATACAAGTTTTGAGGTTCCCTAGGGAAGCTCATTTTTATTCTTTCTTTCTTTCTATGTATCTGAATTTGTATTTTGTATTGAGGTTGCATAAGAACAACAGATATGAAACAAAAAACTTTTTTTTTCAGAGATCAAGATCCTCTAGAGAAGTGGATGACATGTTAGAAGAAGCTCTAAGTGTAAGAATTGCTTTTATCCAAAATAATTATTATTGTTTAGCATCATTAACAAGCATTGAGTTTAATAAGTATCTAGTTTACCAACACTCAATGTAATGCTATTCGATCTGTGCCACCAAGCTTAGATACAAGTCTGAGAGTTAATCACAACATCAAGTGGTTCTAGTTTAAAAGAGTGAGATGCAATTGGACATTGCCGTGAAAGGGAGCAGATGCTGATCTTGCGTGCGTCTTAGTATAGTACATTTGCTTTGATTTGTCCTTCTGTTGAGGTGTTAAGCTGTTGGTACCATGTGCATAACAGCACATGTACATGAAAATTTACTCTACACTATCAAAAAAGAGTTGGGGATTGACTCCCAGTTCCCTGTGAACAAATCATGGTAGCTGCTACACTTTGACTGAAGTGGTCCTTACAACCGAATCCAAATTCTCTGGTTGATTTTAAGCCAATTTGTATTTTACATTAAAAAAAAAATTTTTCCATGAGGAAATCAAGACCAGTAGCTAAACAACTCTTTAAAATGATGATACACGCTAGTGGTCTATTTCATTAATACATGCTTCTACTATTGCCACTGTTTCTTTAAATTGAACACCCCTCAAGTTTAATAAGGTTGTCCATCCCAAGGCAGTAAGGAGCTTTCAATTGAGTGACGACGGTAGGAAGTAGACGTCACTGAAAGTCATCTGTGCATACGAGAATGTTAAGTTCTCCTCGTCGCGTGGATTCTAGGACGCAATTTGGCCAACTCTGTGTATAGAGGCTATGTTCTCACACGGCAGCTAACGGTTAGCAGGATCCGGATCCTGCTAACCGTTAGCTGCCATGCGTCCATACAAGAAAATCCTGATCCGGATACCAAAAATATGATGATCGAATCACTGGCCAATAAGAAACTGGAAATTGTAAACACGTACGTGTGATTGGTTGATGATAAAAACGCGCTCACTTGCTAACCGACAGCGCTTGCTAACCGTTAGCAGTATCCAGATACTGCTGACGGTTAGCGCTAACCGTTGGGGCGTTCTCACGCAGGTGCTAACGGTTAGCGCTAACGGTTAGCTAACGGATACTAGGACTCTCGTGAGAACCAGGCAAGAGAGAATGTAAAACGCCCGTATGGAGAGAACGTAGCGTCGCATTGTCGAATAAATCGAAAGCTTCCTATTGTATATCTGTGCAAACATTGATATGTGTGTCCTCATTCTTTTTGAATGCCTCTATATGAAACACTAAAAGAACAGTAGGACAAAAAAACCTAACTATTTCTTCTCTGAAATTTCCTAGGACCGACATGGTGAATTAGAAGGACTGGATCTAGCCATTGAAAAACAGAAGGATAGACTTGAAAAACTAAGAGCAGAAAACAGAGGAATAGCAGAAGAGAGAAGAGGTGCAAATATTGAGTTGGAGGATTTGTTGAGAGGAATGACCCAACTGAAAAGGGAAGGAGAAGAACTTAAATTAGAGAAAGAGATTGTTAAGAGAGAACTACAAGCAATGCGCGTGTCTGAAAGAAGAAACAGAAGGAAGTTAGTATTATGATGTCTGTATATGGAAGTGTCATTTACAAATTTTAGGATGTTTTTAAAAAAATCTGATAATAATGATACTACTAATACTGTAAAACTACATTTTATTCATAGAGATCATACACTGTAAAATAGCATTGAACTACTTACATAAAATACATTTTTTATTAATTTTAATTATTTTTTTATACACATTTTATTCTGCTGCTTTAAACATACTAAATACAGTGATTATTGCAGGATTTTGAAATATATTTAAATAATGCAATTGTTTTTCATAGATATTTTTTTTTTGATTAATAACCATTTGTTTTTTTCCCTTAGGGAATTTCTTGAGCAAGACCAGGAATCTGAAGGAACTTCTACGGAATATTCTTCGGACTATAGAGGGCACCTTCAACATATCCAGCGAGAGATTGCTTGCACAGAGAAGACTTTGACAAAAAGAAGATCAGAGTTGAGGGAAGCTGATAATCTGCTGCATGAATGTGAAGAAGATTTACAGAGTGTTAGGCAAAAGGTAATTAACCATGTAAAACTCAAATTCACTATATATAATGCATGTTTTCACTTCTGTATTATCAATTTTTTCTTGGAAGTCAGTGCCAATGGGTATCACAATGCACAGCAAAATAAAGTAGATGTGTTACGAAAGCTTGTTTCTCCCACTCCCAGGAGTGGCTTTTTCCAACTTGGGACCCCAGTGGAGTGTCTTATGCCATTAGTAGTTTTACAACCCCTTATGGCATTCCACAGCACACTAACAATGTTAAAATGAATAGAGGTCAAACAGACCATGCACTATAAGTAAATTTTGCACGGAATAGGATAGTAAAATTTTAAAGATCAAAGGATGCTGTTGTGATTAGCTTATGTTTCACACACTATGTATGTTTTGATTGCTGGAGTGGCACAAATTGTGACAAAATCGGCACTATAACTTCTCGTGTTGCATGAAATCATGACTATATCATTTTCTGTTGTATATTTTATTTAAAATAAATCAAATGAAATAAACATTAAATTGCAGTTCATTATTCAATATGAATATCAATTTATTTTTAAAACCAGGCAAACGAAACATTGAACGAATATGATGAAGCAAGTAAAAGGCTAACAGAAACTAACGAAGAGTACAACGAAATGGAAAAACGAGCACAAGAACGGGCAAAGGATATTGTCAATCTGGAAACACAATTACAAGATCTCAAAGAGGAAGCAGAGGAACTTGATGACCTCAGGATGCAGCGGGAAGAGGAATTGAAAGCAGTTGAAATTGTAATTGGAAGTCGTGATGCCGAATTCAGAAGTTTAGAAACTAAGACACAACACATGCGTGGAAGGTCAGAAAGAAAATGACTCAAATTTTAAATCAATGCAGTAATTAATATAGTAACTAGTATTATTTATGTGATTAAATTGTGGTTTTTGTGATTTGTGTTAGTAGATGTCGGCCCAAGATGAATAATACATTTTTTGACTTCTCCACAAAATGTAAAAAAATAAATAAAATTGTATAAAGCATGTCTTAATTTTGCTTGATTCATACTCAGTAACAAAAAGCTAACAGAGAACTCCAAGTGTTGAAACTATTTTAAAGTTTATATTGCATTGGCTCATAACATTTCATAGACATCCAGTTCCTTTTGCTGTACCTATTATTCATTTTAGTGCTGTCAAAAAACTGTATTATATTTCTTAATCTAATTTTATTTTTTTGTATTCTTTACCATAGACTTCAAAAATTAGAATCTGATGTACTAATGAGTGAGCAGAAAATTCTTGAGCAATCATCAGCAATTAAAGATGGAACTAAAGAATTATTAGAAAAGAACACACACCTGAACCACTTATCTACCCAGGTATGATAACTTAATAACGTAACAATAATAGTAATTTGTGACTGCACTTTACCAATGCACTTTATGCGTATTTGGAGAATATTTACGTGGATGTACATACAGCTTTTTGCAAAACAATGATTCAGTAACACCTACATTTCTGTCATTCATAAGCAAAATATGGAATGAGGAAGCTTTCTATGTGCTAGGCGTTCTTATACAGCACACTGAGAGATTAAGAGTTATTACAAATTTACTTTGCTAAAAGTAAACTTGGTATAACGAATCAATGCATATTATTTGAGGATTGCCATTCCAAAACCAGTGTACTGTCACTAAATGTTAAACTGAGTAATTAGCATAAGAATGTGGCAGCATTGTATACTTTAATACAGAGAAGCTGTAATACTTTTACTGGACTTTGGCAATAGTAGGTACTGTGGATTCCAGTAAATGATCTATCATTTTAAAACTTATAAAGTGGAGAATATGAATATAAAATGTCAACTGATGCTGGTTTTGACATAGCAAGGCTCCATTTTAGCATTTTCTGTTACGAAAGAAAAACAATCTTGCAACACAAGTTTCCTAATGCTAACAGCTATCAAAATATATATAATAATTCACATAATAGCCCTTGTTGAATGAACTTTGAAACTTGACAGTTGACAAATTCTCAATTAATTTTTTTTAGATAAAAAGTCAGGAGGAAAAGTTAGCATCCATTATGCAAGATATGGCTCAGAAGGAAACTGAATTGCAACGACTGACCAACAGTGTTGATACAAGCAAACAGAAACTAATTATGGCCCTGAAAGATGGAGAAGCAGAAGTCACTGATACAGAGCGAAAAATTAAGGTAAACTAATAGTTAACCCACGGTACAGTATATGAAATGATTATACAATATAACAGTGGTGATGATGGTGATAATAGGGAGACTTCAGTTGCACAACGCGGTAGAATCTAGAACATCATTAATATTTCATCTGCGCATGCGAGAACGTTAAGTTCTCGTGTGGATTCTAGGACGCAATTTGACCAAATCAACGTTGTGCAGAGAAGGTAGGACAGTCACGCATGAGTGAACCTGTTCTAGAGTCGCATCATCGCACAAATCGAAAGCTCCCTAACGATTATAATGCTTCTGATTGTGAATACTGTTACAGTATGCAGTACTGTTATAAATGAAGAAATGTAATAAAAAGTATATACAATATATAATTGGAATTGCAGTTGAGAAGTGGGGTGGGGGGAGGGGAGGCCACTCCCTCAAGTTGGGGAGACCTACCTCAACCTGCTTTCCCATGGTCAGGGAGTAAAAAGATTTTATGTAATTTTTACAGATTTTGAGACTTTAATTGATTAAATAAGCTGTTAAATCCAACAATAGTTGGACCTTTCGGAGCTTTGCTGTTATTTTCATTCTTGACCTACACCTTCTAACACATTAGAGAGTCTCATATTCCATCCAGCTGTTGTGATTTTTTTTTGCACAATTTCAGGAAGCAAAATTCAAACTGGAACAGCTAAACAAAGAAAAGTCGCAGTTGAGTAAAAGTGTAACCGATAGCAACAGAAAGCTTGCTGAGTCCAGGACACAAATGGAAGAAACCGACAAGGAACTTCAGTATGTAGGTGGCAGCATTGAGAAGAGCAAAACTGAACTGAAACATACTCTAGAACTAATACAGTTAGAAAAAACAGAATTGGAGGCTTTGAAAATACAGCATGAACGGAAGATGGCAGAGCTGGAGCAAACACAAATAGCTGTGTTAGAGGTACATATGTAAATTCATGGGCTTCTAAGCAAAAGGTCCATGAGAAAAACATGCGACATGCCTATATATAGTCATGATGACATCTTATCATGACCATATATAGGTGCATCATGACCATATATATTGTGACTATAAATGGGCATACAACCAAGAAGATTTGATAGTGTGAACAGAAATGAAATGTATGAATTCACTTTACCTTTGTCTTCCAAGTAAGATTTAAATGAAGACATACCAATTGCTTTTTTTTTTCTTTTTATGATAAACATTTAGGAAAGAGCCCAGCTTGAAAACCTACAGTCAGAAGTTCAACAAAAGCAAGTAAGTTTAGAATGCACTCGACAACAAATTGAAATAGAAAGGACATTAAAGGAGCAGCTCACCGAAGAAAAGCTTTTAATGGAAACCGGGATAAACAATCTACACAGAGAAAAAGAAATGCTAGAAAATAACTGTGAAAGCATGGGATCAAAAGTCAGGAAATTTAAGAGGTAAGGCAGTATGAAGTATAGTCTCTTTTGTGAATACTTAGCTGGATGTTTAATTTATGAGGAAGATATTTAACATCTTTTTGGATAGATAAAGTGCTGATTAGATGAAACACCAGCGACAAAGTATTTTCACAATTTTATTGATTGCATTCTTGTGTAAAAGTGCCCCATGGGAGAATGAGTATTTTCGCAGTGGTACTTTTTGTATTTAAAATGTCACCATGCATTTTTTTTCAAATGAAAAGAAAAGAAAATCTTATGCACCTCATTAGTTCAAATTTGGAAATAAAATTGTTCAAATGTGTTATTATTCTGAACTCCAGTCGTTCTTTTAAATACAAAAAAAAGTAGTGCTTGATTTTTGAGGACCGAATAAATTGATGTTAGCACTCTAGTAGTGTTTTTAAGCTCTTTTTAGTCTAACAAGTTTTATGTGACAAATATGTGTCATCAGCCCATATATGGGCATGATGATGCAATATCACATTCATATGAGCAAATCACAGGTATTTATCACATAATATCAAATGTTGTGGCTAGTGATATAACTTGATGCAGACTCTACAACTAAATAGCGTATACAAATTTAGTATTATTTGGAGCATATGTGCATAGCCAGTTAACATTCCATTTTACATTGATGTGTTTCTAATGCATTTTGACGACATGTTATGTTTTGCAGGCAGCAGTCGGAGAGTGAAGGAGTGTATGAGACTTTACAAGGTCAGTTACAGAAGTTGAGTGAGGATGTACATAAGTCAGAGAAGGACGTAGATGAAATGACTTACAAGCGTTCTGCCATGGTGAAGGAATTCCAGGCTACCAAGCACAAGCTTAAAGGTTTGATTTTAGAGTCTGATCCTTATAATTACTTTATTATTCAAGCTATTGAATATGAAAAACATTAATGTTTGAAATATAGAATCACAAAGGCTTGTATTACTTTCTTCTGAGTTAAGTGCTAATAATTACATCATTAGTAAAATATTCTACCATGGTAAATGTCAGGAAATACGCACAAGGTAAAATTTTGTTATCAATTACCGTAATTCAATATTAGTCAAATATTCCATGCAGAAAATATATAAAAAATGAATTAGTCATTTAAAATTAAACAGTAAAATGAATGAATGAATTATTTGATGGCTACCATTGTATATCATTGCGGAACTCTTTTATTGACTGTTAATTCTGTTTTCTTATTAGATCTTCAGACCCAAATGAAGACAACAAACAGAGAACTAATGGAGAAAAATGATCAGAAAGGCCACCTGGAAAATGAATTGAAAGATGCTGTAAAACAGAAAGAACAGATTCTACTAGAAGTTGAACAGTTGAAGACGAATATCAGTCAAGAGCGTGATACCCTTACTAACATTCTGTCTCAGCAACACGTACGGCAGGAAGAGTTACATCAGCTTTTAATGGATGTTGAAAGACGTCAACTTGAGGCTGAGGACAGTAAAAGGGCACTTGAGAGTTTGAAAGCTGACTTAGAACATGAAAAGACAAAAATGATCACTGTAAGTGGCTACAGTACATTACATTCATATATTAGTGATAAATACAATAATAACAATAATAATAATAATAAAATATTCATAATAAATAAGACAGTAATGTTAATATGTTAATATTTCATTAAAATTTGTTCCCGGAGAGTGTTTTTTTGCAGTGAAGCTTATCACAGTATCCTCTCTCAGTAAAATATAGTACAAACAAGGTAATAGTAGATTCTGCCATATCAGGTTGTAAAATTCGTTGTCGAGGGTTGGAACCACACGCTGGCCATTCTCGGCCGGCCATGCTTAGTTAAACCAGCTTGCACTGTTGACAGGTTGTGAAGTGGCTCACGTTATGTTTCAGCCCCAGGTGCGAGTATTCCATGGCTTTAATAAATATTGTGTGGTCACCTCTCACCAAACATAGATGGTAACATCAGGCCTAATTAACTAAGATATACAAAAAAAAATTTAAAAAAAGGTCTGTGCAGAATCTCACTTGTTCTGTGCATGGTGGACCTGAGGCCTAGCCCTAAGTTAGACAAGCATTCGGCTTGTTGAGTATTATGCTGCTCATACATGCAGGCCCAAGAGCACAAGTGAATAGACAGTGATTGTAGCTTAATATTTATAATATTTGCCATCCCATCTCCCAAGTCTGGACAAAAATTCAGTCCTTGATGAGATTTGATTATATATGGAGTATTACTTCCCTCCCCAAATCAAAATTATGTTAAATTTCATTTTTTAAATTAACATTCTCATAATGCTGTGTCTAGTTTCAGAGTCAGTATGAAAAGAAAGACAGTGAATTGCTGTCAAGTTTATCTCAGAAGACAGCAGATTTGAGGAAAGCAAGCGAGCAACTTAAAACTCTGCAAATTGATATTGGAAATTTAGAGTCTGCATTGGGAAAAATTCAACGTTTAGGTAAGTAATGCAATTCATTTTGTATTGTACAAAAAATACTACTTTTAACCACTATTTTTTTGGCTTTTAATCAAACATTAGATGGTGTTTAAAAAGAATAATCTCAGTTGTCTCTTTTTTCCCCTTCTTTTTGTTTTTACAGAAGCCAATCTGGAGGCTTTAACCCATGATCTGGAATCAAGGGATGATGAAAAAACTCAATTGGCTGAAACTCTGAATTTCTCACATGCTGAAATTCAGAGTCTTAGAAATGTGAGTTTGTTTTTAACAGGTATTTGTTAATTAAGTTTTAAGATAATACTAGAAAATACAACAATGGAGTGAAGGAAGATGAAGATGGTTAGTGCATCTAACAAGAAAAATAGAGACAAAATATTGACATTGACAAGAAAAAATGAGCCAATTAGAAACAAGAGATGTAAGTTCAATAAATTTTAATTGGAAACACCAACTTAAGTAAGAGTAGTAAACAACAGAAGAGATATGGTAGATTGTTTTCAGTGTTGGCTCTAGAAAAACAAAGGGCGGTTGAGCTCCTCGGAGTCAATGGCCAACCATTAATTAGTTTAAGGCATAGGAGTAGTTTAGTCTCATTGTTATTATTGTTATTATGATTATTTTTATTTTATTTTATTGTTATTATTTTATTGTTATTTGCTTTTTCTCAGTTGGCCTATATTATTTCAGTGTAAAACGGATAGGGGCAATGTGCAATATGCGCTATATAAATATAACATTATTATTATTATATTAAATTTATCAACAGACAGTCCACAGGGGGTTTTGAACCAAGCAGCCATCTAGAGCTTCGGTCAGATTTCCCAGAACAAAATTCATTTTGAGGGTCGTGAAAGATATTTAATGGCTGAGGATGCAATCACTATAACTTTGTTTTGGATCAGCAAAATAATATATTTAGTTTGACGAACTCGTCGTGGCGTTAAATGATGGTGTGGTGGGGGGAGGGTCCAAGGCACACCATTTCCGGTGATAGTAGTTTCTATACAGTTTTTTCACCTCATCAGTGTCCCTCTTTGTTTAATTTTAAAAAATCTTTTTTTTTTTCAGGAGAAAATGGAAATTCAAAACCAGGTACTAGAACTTGAATTGAAATTACAACGCAACAAAAAGAAATACAGCGATTCAAGCAAGGTGAGCAACATGTACATGATCATGGGAAAGGCGGCTTGGCACAGCGTTTTCCTTTCTTAATCTGAACCTCTTAGTCGGAAAGTTCAGACCACACATTGACCGTTCTTGGCTTGCCCTTTTCTTGACCCTGTCTTGCGTTGTTGACAGGCTGTGAAATGATTTATGCTATGTTTCATCCCTAGGTGCAAGTATTTCATGGCTAAAAGTTTGTTTTAAAAATACATTAAAATATTATTGTTGTCGCTGTTTATCATCAATAATACTAACATCAGGTATACAACAAGAAAATCATTATCATCATCATCGTTATTCTCATCATTCTCATTGTCCTCCTTATTACCATAATCATCATCGGTAATCATTATTGTATTCATTATCTTTATCAGTATCATCATCATTATCATAATTATCATCATCATGAGGATGATCATCACCATAACCACCATCACCACTATTACAAAATTTACTGTATTACAAATACCATTGACAGCAGTAGGATAATTGATTGTAATTGTTTCTTTCAGTCAAATCAAGAAGCTCTTAAAACCATGAAAAGACAAATCGAAAGATTAGTAGAAGCTGTGGAAGAACATAGAAACCGTGCAAATCGATTGAATCAGGAATTATTAGAGACTCGTGAAGAGTATATACAGTTGCAACAAAAGGTATTTTCCTGTCCAAATTAAACGTGTTTCCTAATGATTCCAATGTAAAAATTGTATTTTTATTATTAGTGGACAAGAGTTACATGCCAATATTAATGAAAGGGAAATATTGTTTCTTTGGTGAAACGGTGTATTTTTTATTTTTTTTTGCAAAATTTTTAATTAGTTTTATGGTTGAGGTGGCAAGGCCATATTTTCTTGATGTAACTTTGTCGGTATCTAGCCACAGACAACCATGTTATGAACAAATATGTTGTACATTCTTTACTTACATCTCCGGAAATATGTTATGCCGTAGGACCATAAATAATGTTTTTATGTAACTGATTTTTTTTTTTTCTTGTAACAGAATGCTAAACTATCAGCTGTAAACAGGAAAGAGAAAAAATTGGAGGCATCTCTACGTAACCTCCGAGAAGAAATCAAATCAGAAGTATCTGTTGGTTTAAAGGATTTAGAATTGTCGAGATTTGAGGTTCTAGATGAGTTGCAAGAAATGCATGAACAAAAAAGAGCCCTGACCAGTCAATTAGACACACTTAATCACTCACTCCATATGGTAAGAACATAATTATATTTCAAAGGTTTTCTTTTTTTTTTAGATATATTTGTAGTAGCCTGTATATTTCAACATTGATTTGAATGATACGCTGCATTGTAAATATGTAGTGATTCAAGCATACTTTTATATTATGCAGGCTACGCTTGAAACTAGTATAGATCGTGACAGTGGCTTTCAACACCATTTTAACCAGGCACAGCATAAGGACACAATAAAGGAACGTTTTGAGCATGAGCAAGCTATGCTTAAGGTACAGAATCTGATACATGCTTGTTATTCAGCTTTGTATAAATACTTAATTTTGGTCTATGATATTGATATTTTTTGGGGGTTTTTTCATATGGGATTTCTCATAACATGCACTCTAATTAAACTCTATTTTTTTAAAAGGTTAAATTTTGAAAAGTCCTTAAAACTTTAATTGCCCTCTTAATGATTGAAATGCAAGTTTCAATAGCATAATATCTTGCATATGTAACATTTAAGTTATTGGTCATATGTGCAATATGGCCCACGTGCACAATAAAGTATGCAGTAAAGTCTTAGGAAAAGAGATGGGGATGGTCGCCTGGTGTACTGCCCCGTTCACCACTAGAATGGCCCCAATGGAAATAAGTCTTCGGACATTTGTGGGTTATCTTTGATGTATTTTACACCAAAGCAATCCAATCCAACATATTTTGCGAAGAATTTGCTGCAATTTTGTTTATGCATCTGTTAATTACCCAAGAAAAATGTTAACTGAATTCAACTGATTGCACAAGTTTAGTTTAGCCGGGCACTCATTGCGTTGTGCGACGAATCAAACTCCACTCCCTGAGACCACTAGACGAAGCGATGCCCTCTGCCAATAGACCGAATTAGCGATCAACGCTGTTCAGCTATAGTGGGTATTCGAGCCAAAACAAATGCACGAAGATAGGCGATTTACACAGTAATTTAAGAAAATAGCCTTTACTAAAACGTCTCATACACGCTTTGTGTGTAAAGTTGAGCGTGATTTAAATGAACAGAAACCATTGTTACATGTTTATGAATGTAACATCATCTTTTCTCTACGATTGTGTATGCCAAATGTGAAATATAACGAGAATAAATCGTACTATTTTGGGAATTAAACGTACATTGGTCGTGTCTGCCTGTGTTACAGCACGACGACGGCAGCAGCCGTGTATTCACTCACAGTGAATCATGGCGTCGGTCGATGAATGTGCTTGTTGCAAAACTCATGAAATGTGTTGCACTTGCAGATTTCAAGGAGAGCTAAGTTATTCAAAATTATTAAATAATGTTCCTCAATTCACGCCAATAACTTTGGCAGACTGCACGGAGCTGAATGTTTACTGTCATGCCTCACTCAATCATCACATTCAGCCATGTCGCGTTGTCGTGCAACAAGTTTCAGGGGCCGAGGCCTAGCCTGTAAAAACTCTACGTATATTTAACTTAATTTTACATGAAAATCAAATCAAACGTCTTCTGATGGTTCTATGAACCTTCCTTAACCTACCAATGTTTTAAAAAGTATCTTACCCGCGTACTTTGGTTTTTTTGCTTGTTTTCCTGGACCATACAAAAACTTGTAACGTTATAGAATAGGACTTTTAGGCTCTGTTAAAATTTTATACCCACTCGGCCAAATTGTGATGACGTCATCTTTCGTCGCTAATTCGGTCTATTGCCGGTGGCAGTTTGAATGGATCATTTTTGACGAGTCATCGCGTTGTGTTCTTCATAGAATCACGTCGGGCGCAACAAGTGCCTGCCTTTACTCAACACAGACAGAAATATACAAGTATTATGATTAAGTGCAGTTGTTTACATATTCTTTGTATATGATTTGTTTCTTTTTAGCTTAAGATACAACAGCAAGTTGAGAGGCAGGCAGAGATTCTTGATAGTGTGCGGAAAAAATCAGAATACACATTATCCGGTGTCAAACAGAAGCTGTATAATTTTGAAGAGTTGGTTAATAAAAGCGGCCTCCAGTCGAGATTACAGGATGATGACCAGTCTTCTATTAGTTAATGATTCTAGGTTTATATAACCTGATTAGAGCCGATGTGAAACATCTTTAAAAATGTTATACTTAAGAAATTTAAGTATGCAAGACTCATCCAATCCATTATACTCAGACGTTATCGTAAATAGATCGGGAAGGATTAGACTTAAACAACATAAAATATCCAAAAACCGTTTCAGACATTCAGCATTTTACATTGCTTGTAATTTATTTAATCAAAACTTAAGAAGATAGCTACACAAACTCCAATTTTTATAATACTAGAGAATTTTTAATTGATATTTATCACATTTATAAACGATTCTATGTTATGTACAAAAATATCTCAATTTATTTTTTGACAATAAAGTTGTATCTTGTATCTTGCACCACAGAAACTGATAATTCGTAGCTTCCATTCATTAAATCTATATTAATGTAAATATTTGCCTACACATCACTATTTAACTGAAAGTGATTTCTAATAAAATTTAATTCAAATACAGTAGTTTTAATAACTTTGCAATGTGTTAAAGTGAAGCTTCTATAACAATTGTAACATATTGTATTATTTTTTCCTATATAAATCTACAACAATGTTGCTGAATTAAAGTATGCATTTGTTGTCTTTCTTCAAGTCGAATATGCAAAATAAAATATACATTTTACTATATAGTCGAACCCAAAGACACCTATTCATGACACAACCGTACTAAAGACTGGTTTTTTTATAAAATTCCAGCACTTTAATGTCGGCAGTTTTGATTTGTCAGTCGAATCCCCATCCCGATTGCGACGAAGACAGCTGCAAAATACAGTAATGACAGTGTAGTAATTTTGGTAACCATGCTTAATGGAACACTTTTCAGTATAAAGACACAATTATAAATTATAAGATTTGATTAGTAATTTATAACATGAATTCAGACCTTTTCAATCTGGCGTATTCATCTTCTCTTTCAACAGACATCTAGAGTGCTTTGAAGCACAAAGGTAAGCCCTAACAATTATAGAACAATCTCAGTCCTCGGATCAAATTATTACGTACCTCAATGAAAATGACCTTATAAATGTATCAATATGCTTTTAGCAAGCACCCACTCAACTGTTATGCCTTCATCGTTTAATAGCTTTTCTTCTTATGGATTCTGGGGTGGATGCAGGATTTGGCAGTAGGGTTGGAGATGAGGTGATAGCATTTTGAAAATATGGAGTTCAGGTTCCCGGAAACTGCACTCTCATACCTTAAAAATCTTACCGGTAATTCATATCAACAATACAATATTATACAATCATTTTTCTTAATACAGTTTAAGAGGGGGTGGGAGTGCGATGGCACCGTATACACCCTCCTCCACTTCCCGCATCCGTCCCAGGGATGCTATACACGAGCATACAGAGTATTCAACGATACGAAGGCTGCGACGTGAACGCTCTTTCCTTGGCCCCTTGGCTGGAAGGTCAAACAGTGAAATGTTACCCCAAAATCAATCGGAATTGCCATAGGCCTACTACAGGGTAGTGTCTTAGTTCAATTATATTTTTATTATTATTCATAAAACGACATTTCAAAATTTATTTTACCTTGTAGGCCTACTTGCAGTATTTTTGTGGATGATGTTGCTGTTTATGTTTCGGGAACACAAGTTGATAGATTAAATACAAAATTACAAAATAATGCTAATTAGAAACCATAATATACTTTAATCTGATGTCAAAAATATTCAGGGCCGTCGGAACCGCACCGGCTTTGGCCGGACCTCTTATACTTTTATTACTTTAAAAAATACATATACTTTTACCTATAAATTATATTAATTGTTGCACCTCAATGTCATTCGAATGTTTCACCATGTACCGGTACGTGTTTTGTAACGCACTACAGTATTAGCCTATGCATTTCAAGCTCCTGTTATGAATTAATTAAAAACTTTTTTTAAATCTTTGATTTTAGTAAAATTTGTTCACCTTTGCCCCAACCATGCAGAGCATCGGTAGGGTATCTAGTCGCCCACTAGGAGAAGTGGCTCTACAGGTTGCCAAATGCTATTTCCAAGCATCTAGGGTTGTTATTTTATTTATTTTTTATTTTTTTTGGCACAATATTCCTAAGGGTTGGGGCTTAGCGGAATGGTTCATTATCTCCTCGGTAGTATGGGTGGTAGAGCTGTTGGCTCAGTATTCTTTGATAGCCATTTGTAAACATAATATTTACATTGAAATAGCATTGTAAGGGTCGGCTCAGAGTAGAAAATGTATATAGTAAACTGTAAACAATATATTAGATACAGTACAGTTTTGTTTTTTAATACCACAATATTATAACTTGACAATCAAAATAACGTTATATGGATAGGCAAATTATCATTTTTGGTCCCGCACGATTTCGTCGAATAAACGCCACCAGGCGTTTATTGTTGAGAATGGTTTTTGAGGGGGAGTTTATTCAAGGGAGGTGTTTATTCGAGGCAGGCATTTATTTTTTTGTGTAAAATGGATACGTAATGTATATACTCAAACGCCCCTTAATTCCACTGTTATTTAAATTGTAATTTTTACTGGAGTAAAACATTAGTAGAAAGTGTTGGGAATGTTTCCATTAGATCTGTTTACAGTCAAGGGGGAGTTTATTTGAGGGAAAAAAATGCGCCACGGAGTGTTTTCGAAAGAGGCGTTTATTCCAAATTAGGGTCTAGAAGGGGCGTTTATTCAAAGCGGAGTGTTACACGGGTACAAATACGGAAATGTAAACCTCCCTGATTATGTTTTCAAAAGCACAGTATGTTGTACTTTTGTACGATGGTGACGGCAAAAAATTCGGCAAACTGGGTTGTCATGATTTCGGTGAACTGGATTCGGCAAACTGGGTTTCGGCAAAGAGGCCATTAATTCGGCAATCATGGGTTTCGGCAAACTGGATTTTGACAAACTGGTCGGATACCGTTTTGGCCCCCAGTGCTAGACCAATTCGAGGGTGGACGCTAATAAGGGGTGAGCGCTGAACTAATAATGTTTAGCCTGGTAGGGCACTACTGTCATTGGCAGCAATTTTCCTTCATATACCTGGTTGGTTGTGCACCTGTCTCATAATATCCAAATTACTGCTGAAGCAAGCGTGTATGTGAACTACCGGAACTGTGTCGTAGACAAAAACATCTTCTGAAATATTAATTTTGGAATGGTGTTTCTTCTAAGTAAGAAAATATACATATTGGTAAGTAGAGAGTGTACCATACTATAGTTGTACAAGCCTGTATGCCTTCATGGTGTTAGATTTAATTGCGGTATCCACTGTTGTTGTTCAGGCCTACATTTTCAGACTGGAGACTGCTCTAAAATTGTTTTGAGTCCTTTTCATACAATGGCATTAAACAGGAATATCAGTGAAAATGTAAAAAACAGAGCTAAAGATTTGTTGTTGTGTAATGACATACCGTATAGTCGTAGGCACATGTTTTTGCTACCTACAATTTGTAAATCTAAGTACTTTTTAAAATTAGGCTAAGTGAAATCATTTATAATTATTATTCATCAATGTGTAATATTATTTATATAGTGACTTAAAAACGATCCGTGGGTCGTAAAATGAGTTTTAATTTAAATAAAGTAGGCCTTTTATAACACCGCTATATAAGTTCATGATCTTAATGCCGTTAATGTCCTCAAAATCATTGTCTGTATATACATTCTAAAATTGTTCTATCTAAATAATTTTAATTAATTTAATAAAGTGTAATATTATTTATATGGTGACTTAGAAGCTATCCATGGGTCATAAAAATTTTATTAAAATAGGTCGATAACAATCGCATAAAAATACACATTCATGAAATACCGTTGGTGAAATGTATTTATACAGTTTATTATTATTTCCTGTTTTGACCTTCTTGTTCACTCCTTGTTCACGATGTTTATTTTCATCTCACCTAGCCGGTTTTTTATTTTAGCTTTTTCTACATTCACTCACTCGCCACTGAGGAAGGACTAGTGTTGTCAGAAAGCTCTGGTTCTACTTCTGGTTGTTGCTTACCAAATTTGTATCTCTACCGAAATCCAGCCATTGTTTCTCATAGCATTGTTTTTGTTGCCTTTAAATCTATATATATATATATATATATATATATATATATATATAAAAATAAAATGAGATT